GTTGGCCTGCCTTGCTAAGTTGGGGAAGTTCTCCTGAATAATATCCTGAAGAGTGTTTTCCAGCTTGGTTCCATTCTCCTCGTCATTTTCAGGTACACCTATCAGACACAGATTTGGTCTTTTCACATAGTCCTATATTTCTTGGAGGCTTTATTCGTTTCTTTTTACTCTTTTTTCTCTGAACTTCTCGCTTCATTTCATTCATTTGATCTTCAATCACTGATACCCTTTCTTCCACTTGATCGAATTGGCTACTAAAGCTTGTGCATGCGTCGCATAGTTCTCGTGCCATGGTTTTCAGCTCCATCAGGTCATTTAAAGTCTTCTCTACGTTGTTTATTCTAGTTAGTCATTTGTCTAATCTTTTTTCAAGGTTTTTAGCTTCTTGGTGATGGGTTCGAACATCCTCCTTTAGCTCAGAGTTTGTTATTACCAATCGTCTGAAGCCTTCTCTCAACCTGTCAGTCATTCTCCGTCCAGCTTTTTTCTGTTGCTGGAGAGGAGCTGCGTTACTTTGGAGGAGAAGAGGCACTCTGATTTTTAGAATTTTCAGCTTTTCTGCTCTGGTTTCTCCCCATCTTTGTGGTTTTATCTACCTTTGGTCTTTGATGATGGTGATGTACAGATGGGGTTTTGGTGTGGATGTCCTTTCTGTTTGTTAGTTTTCCTTCTAACAGTCAGGACCCTCAGCTGCAGGTCTGTTGGAGTTTGCTGGAGGTCCACTCCAGACCCTGTTTGCCTGGGTATCACCAGTGGAGGCTGCAGAACAGCAAATATTGCAGAACAGTAAATGTTCCTGCCTGATCCTTCCTCTGGAAGCTTCATCTCACAGCGGCACCCAGCTGTATGAGATGTTAGTTGGCCCCTGCTGGGAGGTGTCTCCCAGTTAGGCTACTCGGGGGTCAGGGACCCACTTGAGGAGGGAGTCTGTCCGTTCTCAGATCTCGAACTCCGTGCTGGAAGAACCACTACTCTCTTCAAAGCTGTCAGACAGGGACGTTTAAGTCTGCAGAAGTTTCTGCTGCCTTTTGTTCAGCTATGCCCTGCCCACAGAAGTGGAGTCTACAGAGGCAGGCAGGCCTCCTTGAGCTGCGGTGGGCTCCCCCCAGTTCGAGCTTCCCAGTCGCTTTTTTTACCCACTCACGCCTCAGTAATGGCGGACGCCCCTCCCCCAACCTCGCTGCCGCCTTGCAGTTCAATCTCAGACTGCTGTGCTAGCAGTAAGCAAGGTTCCATGGGCGTGGGACCCTCCAAGCTAGGCGCGGGATATAATCTCCTGGTGTGCCATTTGCTAAGACGGTTGGAAAAGCGCACTATTAGGGTGGGAGTGTCCCAATTTTCCGGGTACCGTCGTCTGTCACGGCTTCCCTTGGCTAGGAAAGGGAATTCGCCAACCCCTTGCACTTCCCAGGTGAGGTGATGCCCCGCCCTGCTTCAGCTCACACTCCATGGGCTACACCCACTGTCCGACAAGCCCCAGTGAGATGAACCCGGTACCTCAGTTGGAAATGCAGAAATCATCCCTCTTCTGCATCACTCAAGCTGGGAGCTGTAGATTGGAGCTGTTGCTATTCAGCCATCTTCAACACATGGTCAACCTTGTTTCACTACGCCTCAAATCTATTTACCTCCCTCACCCACCATGGGGCTCCCACCAGATTATTTTGAAGCAAATCCTGGACGTTATGTAATTTCATCTGTTTTTATTTTATTTCAGTTTCTATCTCTAAAAAAATAAAGGACTACCTTTTTATTTTTTATTTTTTGAGATGGAGTCTCACTCTGTCGCCAGGGCTGGAGTACAGTGGCGTGATCTCAGCTGACTGCAATCTCTGCCTCCTGGGTTCAAGCAATTCTCCTGCCTTAGCCTCTCAAGTAGCTGGGATTACAGCCGCCCAGCACCACGCCCAGTTAATTTTTTGTATTTTTAGTAGAGACGGGGTTTCACCATGTTGGCCAGGCTGGTCTCGAATTCCCAACCACCTTGGCCTCCCAAAGTGCTGGGATTATAGGCATGAGCCACTGCGCCTGGCCAGGACTACCTTTTTAAACAACCACTATACCATTAATATCACACTTTATAATTTTAACAGTAATCAAACACAGAGACATTGTTCACATTTCCTTAATTGTGCACCACCATGCCTGGCTAATTTTTTTTTTTTTTGGAAAGATGTGGTCTCACTGGCCAGGCATGGTGGCTCACGCCTGTAATCCCAGCACTTTGGGAGGCCAAGGTAGGTGGATCACTTGAGGCCAGGAGTTTGAGATCACCCTGGCCAAAATGGTGAAACCCTGTCTCTAATAAAAACATGAAAATTAGCTGGGCGTGCTGGCACACACCTGTAGTCCCAGCTACTTGGGAGGTTGAAACAGAGAATCACTGGAACCCGGGAGGCAGAGGATGCAGTGAGCAGAGATCACATCACTGCACTCCAGCCTGGGCAACAGAGTGAGATTCTGTCTCAAAAAAAAATAAAAAAGAAAAGAAAAAAAAAAGAAATGGGGTCTCACTATGTTACTCAGGCTGGTTTCGAACTCCTGGGCTCACGTGATCCTCCTGCCTCAGCCTTTCAAAGTGCTGAGATTACAGGCGTGAGACACCGCACCCAGCCTGATATGTCTTTTTACTGCATTTAAACCTACAAGTTCCTTGTCCCTTTTTATTTTCCTTGCAGTTTACTTACTGAAGATACTGCGTCATTTGTCCTGAAGTTTCCAAAGTCTAGATGAGCTACTTTATATTCCAGTTCAATACCGAACTACCTGTAGTTCCTAAACATCATGTTGTTACACTTTTGTGCCATTAGCATAGCTCCTCTCTTTCCTTCTAATATCCTCTTAGCACAGAGCTCTCTAGACAGTGGGCTGTGGAAGCCCAGTGAGGACTCTATGAAGGTTTCCCGCTCCCCAACTTAGCCATACTTACCCACCACAGTTGGCTCCATTGGTACCTAGATGCATTCGGGGTTCACTTGAGGCAAGCTTGATCAGTTCATTCCACTCCTTCTGCCATTCATCCTCTGTGTATACCAGCCCTGACTGTGTGAAGGACAGGCAGGGAACATCGGGCAATTAGAGGCTGGGTTCTAAGAGGCAATACCTATTCTACCTTACTCACTGTTACTCCACTCCCTAATCCCTTAGCACTTGGTTTACAAATTATACTACAAAGTCAAATCTCTTCCCTCTTTTACAGTCAAGATCCATGAACGAATAGTCTATGACTATTACACTTCTTTATCATCCATTCTTTTTTGACCTATTGCAATCTGTCCCGTTTCTGCCCTCCATCCTGCTCACCCACCTGCCACATACCATTTCACCTACCTGATTTTGGTAAAGAACAATGACCTTCTAATTGCCAAATTCAGTGGACCCTGGTTCTCATCTTAGCCTTCCCACGGGTTATTTTCCTTTTTAAATTTTCTTCACCATTAGCTTCCATAAGATTGCTTACTATTTCTCTAAATTCTGTCTGCCCCCAAAACAGTTGTGGTGTGTCAATGATTTTCGCCTTGGTTCCCTCTGGGTGATCTCTTCTACTGCCATAATCTCACCCACTACCATCTGTATGGTATATACCATCTATCTCCAGTCCAGATTTATTAATTTCTTTTCTTTTTTTTTTTTCAGACAGAGTCACCCAGGCTGGAGTGCAATGGCACAATCTTGGCTCACTGCAACCTTCACCTCCTGGGTTCAAATGATTCTCCTGCCTCAGCCTCCCTAGTAGCTGGGATTACAGCACCTACCAACATACCCAGCTAATTTTTGTATTTTTAGTAGAGACAGGCTTTCACCATGTTGGCCAGGCTGGTCTCAAACTCCTGACCTGGTGATCCACCCGCCTCAGCCACCCAAAATGCTGGGATTACAGGCATGAGCCACTGCACCCAGTCTAGACTTCTTAATTTCTATATTCATATATCCAGCTACCTACTGGAGAATGCCACCTGCCCATGGCTACCTCAACTCTGTAGTCAAAATAGAACTCCTGTTTTTTCCCAAACCCACTCTTCTTTCTATTTTCCTACCTTAGTGAATAGTACCAACTATCACCCAAACATCCAAGCTCAAAACCAAGGAATTATTTAATATTCCTCTCTTTCTTTCACCCACCCCACACCTGGATACCTTCGGTTTTTTTTGGGTTTTTTTTTTGTTTGTTTGTTTTTTGAGATGGAATCTCGCTCTGTTGCCCAGGCTGTAGTACAGAGGAACAATCTCGGCTCACTGCAACCTCCATCTCCTGGGTTCAAGCGATTCTCTTGCCTCAGC